TAGGTAGTTGCCAGGACGTTTTATCCCTCTTATGTCCCTTGGCACGCGTATAAGAATTGCAATAGCTCAGAGACTATACACGTATGAGTGGCAGTAGCAGCAGCCGAGGCAGTTGAAAGGGAGAAAAGGATAAGATAAGTTATCGCAAGTGGCCCTAAAATAATTTCACGATCGTTCTAAAGCTCGTCTTTACACTGAGAATGGAGTATTATTACATAAGGGCTGCATTATAATGATCATTTGAATTTTGAAATGAGACACTTGGTGTTTTAATTATTTAAAATTAATTCGCTTTGATGTTATAAAAGGCTTAAGGCAGCTGAATAAGTTGACAATTATCGTTTTGCTGCTTGTTAAAAGATCAGAGTCTCTATTGTAATTGTCATCGTTTTTAAACTTTGAAAAATGACAAAAGTTGATAAGATGAATGAATTAAAAATTTCTATCGTAATTATTCAAATAGGTACAAACTCAATAGATAGCTGAAAACATACATATGTATTACACTTATCTATCGACGATCTTTTTTCAAAACCCAGCCGTGAATCATCTCGACAAATGTTCATCGTCGCAGGTGTTTCTAACAGGAATCATTAGCATCTTAAGACGTAGCTGAAAAAGTAGAGGAGGAAAAAAAAAATAGAAGCTTCTTAAATAATTGAAAAGTATTTGATTAAATTTTTAATTCAAGCATCTCAACTTATCAAATGTAAATAATCTTACTAATAAATATTGCAAATTATTTCTCACATTAACAATCATTATTTTTATGGGGATTGGGTATTTTAAAAAATTACTATTTTATTTAGCTCTATTAATACTACATTAGAGAATCTTGATAGTTGTTAATTAACATCATTTTTAAGTAGCCATTTTTTTCGTTAATTTAAGTTTTGGATGGCTGATAGATTAAAATCATCGTTTCCCATCATTATTTATTCGTATCTCTTGGAGAGATACATTTTAAGGTGATTTGTTAATTCAGGGGAGAGTTTTAAAAAGTTTTGTGACCTAAATTTGAACTCGAGTGTTTTTGATGTGAGGAAAATGACTTTTTAATTAACCTAGTGATAAAATTATTCATTATAATTACCGAGGTCAGATTTTTATTTTTAATAAATTCATGTTTAAATTTAACTTTACTAGGATTTTTTACATTTCATCCATCAACACCTACGATCAATTCAACATTTGTAATTAATTTATGACTTGTTGAACAAATCACGATAGGAAAAAATTTTTTTTAATAAAATTAATTAATTTCAATCAGTATTTTTTAAATTTATACAATGAATTTTATCGAAAGCTCAAAGAATAATAATATTTCTTCTCTTGTTTGTTTCATTAAAAAAAAAATTCCAAAAGCTTCGATTTTCTTTTTTTTTTACAAGAATTGATAGCAAACTATTTTAAACCACAAATTGTCGATTTTTTAGAATGAAATTTTTTGTACCCGTAAAAAAATATCGTTTTATTTCTATCGAGGTTTTTTGTGAGTAGTTTTGTTAATCAAATATTTTTGAGTCTTTTTATTTTGATATTTCTCCATTTATTCTCTAAAAAATAGGTACAAAATAAAAAAAAGATAGCTTCCTATTATAAATTAAAAATTTTCTCAAATCATTAAATATTTGTATATTCCACTTTATCGCTTCACATCAATTGCATAAAAAATCCTACACTCTAAACAAAAAAAAACAAGTCATAAAGTATTCAAATTCGACGATTTAGGCAATTGTCCAATTCTAATAAAAATTCCAAACATGATTGAGCGTCTGAACACAGGCAAAATCATTGAAGCAATGATTATTTATAGCCATAGATGCAAGAGTATCAACCACAAAACATCTTTGATTCATAAGTTCCGAGAATTATCCAGCACCGGAAGATGAGAGTGGCTATTGGGATAGTACGGCACGCGTATTTCTCATAAAGACCAGTTAGATCTCGTGCCAACACACGAGGTCAAAGTCTGGAACGTTACTATTACAGGGGGGTAGGGGTATGTTATAGAGTGAAAGAGGGAGTGGAAAGCAGTGGAAGCCGGGAGCACCCCCTTAATGACGACCCTTGGACGTTGTGTCGTGCAGACGGTACATTTTCGACCCCTTGGTATAGTTTGAGCAGGCTTTGGGCCTTTTAATGCAAGTCACGAGACATCCCTCGACACAGCAGTAGCAGCAGACCATCACACGACATCCCATTGCTGACCAACGTTGCCAGATCTCGAAACTCTTGACGTATATCAGTCGCAGAGGGGGATAGGATTGAAGAGCTTGCCAAGAGGATTCACCACTTGCAGGCGAAAGCGCTCAACCGCTGAATAGACAAGAGCGATGAGAAAGGAGATATACATCGATAGGAGACATGAGACAGGTAGAAACTTGACTTGCAGTGGTTGAGAGTGGAGAACCAGCTCTCTGACATCTCACTAAATACACACACTCAATGTTGCACTTGAATATATGCGGGTGTCCTCGAGGAGGAAATGATACCTTACTTCAAAGGCTTACGTCTTACATTGAATCGAGATGATCACAGATTACCTGATATTGACTATTTTGACATGAGAATGAAAGTCTAATCAAAGGCAGATTAATAAAGAAGCCATGCTAAGGAGATTTGTTGAGAGGGAGAGATTGCTATTTTGGGTGGAGCAGAAATGATATGAAGGCATAAATATCACTTATGTCATGAGGATTCTCCTTCAAAGTGGACTGGTTTAATAAACATCGAAGCCTTATTATGATATAAAGAAGAGAAGTTGATTAAATGCAGAAGTTTTATTTATTATTATTTCATTATTTCATGTTTATTTGATATCTAGAGAATGAAGGTTGAAAAAAAAATGATAAAATTTGTTTAGATTATTTATTGCTGAGACTTTCTTAAAAGGGGGATTGAAAAAAATTATTCAAAGCTGTTAATTGAAAGAAAAAGTGAATAAATATGATTTTTTAGAATGTTAATGATATTTTTGAATAAATAAAAATGATTGTTGAATTAAAATAGATTTTACTCAGCTTAACAATGGAATTAAAATCTTTCAAATAAAAAAAACATTTAAAAAAAGTTGACTATAAATTTTGATCATCAAAAAATTGGGTAAACTCATGATATTATTAACTGAAAATTGAAATAACGAATTATTAATGGAAAAAATTGTATTTGTTTTTATCAAAGAAGATAAATTGCTGTTTTTATTCAACAAAAAATATTAATAATTGAAATAAAAGAATGATATTAGAGATTAAATACATTAGCTAATGGGCACAATATTCAAATTCGGGAACATTTGAAAAATATATGCAAACATCAAAATTCTATGCTGCTCTTGTATGCTGTTTTAAAAAAACTGTCGTTTGCTCTGAAGGCAAAATATATATTTAAAAGCATGCCAGAGAGGAAATTGTGATGCCGCAATATTGCGAGAGCATTTATCTCGGGCTCCACATGTGAGGCGGAAAGCAACGGTGGCGGCTACCATCCCCATCTAAACCTACATTTACCCCTGGCAACGTTGCCAGATCGGGGTATGTGAGAGAATCCGAGAGATCGGCAATAAAACCGGTAAAGTGAGATAGACATTGGACAAGAGGGTGTAAAATCGAGATTCCAAAAGCTATAATGATGATCCAACGCTCTATATTGTCTTGTCCAATTATTATTTCTCCCTCCTCTTTGTCTATCTACTTCAGGGTACTGCATGGTCAACTCTAGAGCCCACCAACTGCCCGGGACAAAGATAGTTAGACCATTTATTGTGAAAGTTAATAATTCTAGGTTCGAGAAAATTTGGCTTTTAGGCACATTAGTAACACCAAAAGACTTATTGCTTTGACCAACTGCTGAGTTTCTTGGATTTTTTGTTAATGTTGTTGGTATTGCAAGCTATAACGATTTGGGTTACCTTCACTTTTACCTGAACATCACAATGATGTATCCGCCAACGTGGGATGCACACTAGAAAGGTAGAAGACCCGAGATGAGATTTTTATAAAACGGAAATTGCAAGAGATAGTTCTCTTTCTCTCTCTCTTTTTTGTAGGTATTTCAAAAACAAAATGTCTGTGTCATTGTTGGAGAATTAAGTATTCTGTTTTCTCAAGATAAAATCGATAATATTGAAATTTTGTTCCAAGATGATGATACTCAATATGATGAGATGTATAGGAAAAGAACATCTTTAAAGAGAAAAGGAATCACTTAACTTGAGAAAATATTTTTTCAAAGTTTCCATTATCTCGATTTAATCTATTATCTATTTTTTGATATTGAGATGTTGAAAAATTGAGTAGATTTATTATAATAACTACATTATTTTAAAATCTTCTTACTTTTGTGATAGAGTTGAAGAACATCATCTTGACTGGCTGCGGTTTTTGGGAAAAATATGATAAAAAAATTTATCCAAAATGGGTATTATTGTAATGGGTATGAAAATTGAATTTTTATTTAAGATTCTAAAATTATTTGAAGGGATTTTTTGAAATGAAAAATATCGATCTACGAATATGAGTGAGTATTTCGTTGACAATATCAGGGAGATGGCCAAATGGATTCTGATGTGAAACTTTCTCTCTGGCGTATAACCCAGAATGACTTAGAGCTGATCAGATTTTGAGCTAAATCCATTGAATCGTTTAGTAGTAAATAAAAAAATAACTTTTTTTTTTTATCAGAGAAAGAGGATATATATTTTTTAAAATGACTAGATCGATTTAAGCTCAAATCAGATATTACGCAGGTTGCTGAGGGATGTATCGAAAAAAAAAGCTAGAAAATATGTTGAGCCATTCTTTCAAGCATCGTTGAATAAAATTTTAGTCATGTGAGTTTTTCTAAAGTCTCTTGAAATGAATCACTATACAATTATTTTTTCTATTTATGGTTTTTAAAATAGATGAATATTGAAAAAAAAAAAAAAATATTCAATAACGGAATAAATCTATTGGAATATTTTTTTAAACTAAATAATAAAAAGAAATAATTGAACTTACAGTTTGGTTGACTTTTTCACCAAGCATGACTTCTGTAATCAAAAAGAAAATAAATAATTAATAAAAATAAAGTTTAAATGATTTTATTTTATTTGAAATTAAACAGAGAAGTTAATGATAGAAAAATGTTGGGCTATTAATAAAATAAATACTATTATTTATAAAAAAAAACCGTGAAAATTATTTCAATACACATAAAAATAAAAATAGATAAATTTTTCTGCCAACTCGATTTGCACTGTGTAAATGCGATTATATTTTGACGTAAGCCATTACGTAAGACGTAAAGAAGATTTACAAGACGTCGTGGTATAGGAGAGTTTCATTCTATTCTGAGTGTAGTACCTTTCAGCCCCTGATAATGGAGCGTCACGACTTATTTACTCCTAATATTTCCTTAGGTCATCATCAGCTCTGGCCTTGGTTCCGACCACCCTCCGAGTGAAAAACTATTAAATTTAAACGTAAAACTATTAAGCTTAAATCCATTGGCGATATTACCACGTTTGGTTGCCAAGTCTATCCATACTAAGAGAAAGTTTTAAACAGAAAACCAGAAAACAGGTGGAGAACTGAAAGTAAATACGATCATTGAACAATTCTATGTTAGACTTATTTACAATTGATAGTTTGGGAGGCTTGGCTTCATGTTAAATGTTAAACACGAGGCAGCATAAATTTTTAAATGGATAGATAAAAATATGTCGACATGCGGTGACATAGTCAATAATAGTACAGACTATGTCGCGACAATTTATCTATGTAACTCCACCCACTACATTTTTTTTCTAAAAATAAATAGCTATTTTTATTCAATAGGCGGTGTTAAATTAAGTCATTATGTTCAATTAATTATTAAAAGCACTGAATGAGATGTTTTGACGATTGTTACTTAACTTTTGTTGCTTAAGATGCTCTTAGACATGTTCATCATAATAGACTTAATTTCTATTGATTTGAATAATCCCTACACGACTTTTTTTTATTACCCAATACTGATCACTTTAACAACGAATTAGTCATATTTAAAAACATCAAAAGAATCCATTAATTCATTCAATTGTTGCTTAAAATCTTTAGGTATAAAATACTATTATTAATATATATTTATTATAAAAATTTAATTACTTAAAAAAATGTAGAGAAAAAGTTTTTAGTTGCTATAAAATAATAATTAATTTAAAAAATTACTTAGAGTAACCACTTTAGCATTATTTAGTAAACTAATCTTTTAGTCCAGTTAATTAAAAAAAATTCAATTATTATTCAAAACACTAGGCTGAAATATTTAGTAAGTAATAGCTCGTTTTTATATCAAATTTAAATAAATTTAAAACTTTAAATAAAAAACAAATTTGTCACTTAAAAAGGTGAAATAGTATCAACACTATTTATTTCAATTGAATCCCACAACTATTTATTAGTCGTAATTTTTATAAACTTTTCATTAGATAATTAACAGTACATACATGTGAATGAATGTAATTTAATTCCAAGCGTTTTAAGAATCCCAATGAGATGAAATTACATGTAAATTATTCCGTACCAAGTATATATGTGGATAGAGATAAATTAAAAATATGGACATGTATGTTGGTGAAATGCATTTGCATTTAAAAATACGTATGGTTAGTTTTAGTGACAGTAAATGAAATAACTTTTGATGTTTATCCACACTGCGTATATCTGAATTTTAATGCGATTAAAACTGTGGAAATGAATTTAAAACAAAGTTTTCGTTAAAAACAATGCGAGAATTATTTCATTCATTCTATTCATATGAAGTCAAGTATAAAACTATTAGACTTAATTATATTATCATACAAGTATTTTATTGGCAAACATTGAACTGTCATCATCAGACTGAATGAATTACTGATGTAACAATTACTTTTTTACAACCAGCAATCACTTTACAGTCAAATCCAATAGCTTTTGACTAGTGTGTTTTTTAAGCTGATTAATTCATTAACTAATGACCTAATTAATTAGAAAGATTTTGCAACATTGAAAAAGAGGAGTAAAAATTTTAATTAAACTAAAAAATAAATTTTTACTGTCATTGGTGGGGTAATATGTGTGAGAAAGTAAATCTCCAAGTGATGGATAAAAGCATAAATGAGTGAATAAATCCTCAAAAGCACTTCTTATCGAATAATGTTCAGGCTATTCATTCAATAAATCTGAAACATCCCTTCATTGTGTTAAAGTGTGTGACACCGATAAAACAGATAATATCCAACAGCTAGATAATAACGACTAATAAATCGACATTTTTACGACGTGTTATTTCATTAGTGAATGAATAGAAAAAATGACAATTATCATCAGACTATATAATATTATTTTATTTCAAATTAATAATCAAAATTAATAACAACACTGATAACTCTGTGGAAAAATTTTATTTTGTAATCACTACCGAAAATAATAGCCTCTGAAATGCAGCCAGGCGCAAGGTAACATTATATTTTATTTCAATAAAAAAATTTATTCAAATAAAAAAAATCCTATTTTCAATTCAAAGACAACTGGAGCGGTTGCAACTCGTTCTTCCGCACAATTGTTTTTCCGTGATTTTTTCTCTCTATCTCACTGTCTCTCTTTTCCTCATCGATTGTCATTTGAGCCGAGAATAACTCACGTACTTTAGTGAGAAAAAAATAAAGATAGGGGGTAAAAAAAGTACCAGAATATGTGAGAACGTAGCATACTATATGAAACGAACGAGGTAATATTCGAGAGTTGGACGTGCAAATAAACAAAACGGCTATTAAAAAAGAGTACGATAAAAAGAAGCGGCGGGATATTCTCGTTTGAACGATTCTAAACGAGAAAGGCTATTGTTAAATGTGGTCTAAAAATGGTATTGCCATATTTAGGCACCTATTGCGCTTTTCAATAATTTTTTTTTCGATTAATATTTTTCTTCTCTTTAATCTACTGAGATTTTTCCTATATTGCTAAAGTCAATATTATCCTATATTTTCATTGATCAATCACTAATTCAATGAGCAACTGATATTAAATTTACTTTCCTTTTTATTCACTCTCACTATAGCTAAAAATATTTATATAAAGTGTATACACACATGTTAATAATGCTTTTAATCAAAGAGAATTCCAACTTTGAAGAGATTTTCAATTTTTTCACTTTTAATGTAGTCTACCTCACCTTCAATACACTTCATTTCATCGACATGGTAAATTTTCAAATGAATCATTTTAATACAATTATTAATCGACTTTTTAAATATGTCAACCATCATTACTGGACATAATCAGTACATACACTGTATTTAATGGTTTAAAATATGATGTGATTTATTAAAAAATAATATAGAAAGTTTAAGCAAGTAAATAATTTTATTTTTATTTTTGAAATTGAATTGAAACTTCTAATTTTAAATATTTTTTAATTATTAACCATTCGATAATGATAATTAGTCAGCTTAAGAACCTTGTAACTTAATATTATCACGAAAAAAAATTGTGTTAATTGTCGAAAGAATTTCTTTGAGGAAGCGCTTCCTTTTTCGTCTCTTACTCAACTACTTGTATAAACGTGTTTTTATTGATTACGTTAGTGACGTCCACATTTCTCTTGATCCCTATCGGACTTATATATGCATATATATTACTAAAACTCTCAATTAGAGATCACCTACTTTTGAGGATAAAAAAAGAACTTTCTATGACCTATACTACCGTTTTCCCAGTACATTTGGTTCAACAAGTAGTACTATATACATGACTTGGAGTTTGAATTTTCATTGATGACATTAGAGATAACGTCTATCCCGACAATGATAATCAAGAGCAATCTATAACACTCATAAGTCATAAATCATATAGATTCCACAAACATTTGCTTTGACATTAAATGTGAGTCATCAAAAGACATATAAAATAATAATAAATGATTATCTATTCTTTAGATATTTTTCTTCATAATATAGAGATATTTTTTTTTTGCCAACTGAGATTTGGCAATCGATCAAACCGCTTCTGGCCAAAGAGCCTCAACAAAATATCAAAATAATCACGTCTCATCGGTAGTAACTTCACAAAAATAAAAACAATGAAATAAAAACTAAAACAATAGCAGAAAATATTTTTATTTATTTGAATTTTTAAAACTTTTTAATTTTACCGTTTCTTAATTAGTACTTTTAGAAGAAAAAGGAGGTCATCATTTAAAATAAAGTGTAAGAAAGTTAAAAAAATTATCAAATAATAAGTAATGATATTTACTCAGTGCGTTTCTCAAATTATTTTAATTGAATTAAAAAGGAATACAAATCCCACGATCGCAAGAAAAAGCATTGTATCCTTGAAAATTTTTTTTAGCTGTGTCATGCTCTTGAAATATCTTTTTTCCTCCCTATGTACATCTAAGATTCCAATTATTTAATTGTTCTTATTCTCAGGTTAAAAAATAATTTAAACAATAACTACAACCTAATTATTATTTTTGTCTATTCATTTTTTCCTGCAGAGAATCTCCATAAAAAGGCAATTAATTACTTGGAGATTTTTTTAAGAAAGTTCGGGAGATAAATAATTCATAGCTGACAGAATTTTTATCAGCTTCCTCTCCATCATAAAGTAGAAGCAAACAATAAAAGTTCTAGGCAAGGTAATTAATGTTATCGAGTAATTATCAAGGGATCGTTAAAATGTCACCAAAAGTGTTGATACGACAATCGCGAGGACAATAAAAAAAGGTGGTCTGATTTAATGAGGTTTGAAGGCTAATTCGTATACACATATATAGACATCTTGTCAATGACTTTCAAAAGTAATCACCGAATCAGGCGTGACTTCAAAACGCCCCGCAATCGATAAATAGGATCTATTGAAACGGGTAATTTGTTGTAGAGAATTAGCTCGATAGTCTACAAGGGTTTGTGTGTATATTTTCAGTGTATTTGTAACGATTGAGGTTGATGTAGACTATTGAGATCCGTAATACAATCAAGTGAAGGATTCGCATGCGTAGCTTTTTGCGTAGGTGAACGCACACACCCTC